ATGTCAACATGGTCAGTGAGTTGAATACAATTGCACTTCTTAAAATGAAAAGTTTTATACAGATTCAATAATGAGTCAGAAAGTCAGAGTAATTCTGAAAATCCTGAAGACGTAAGTATAATCAGAACTTGCCACATGTTCTGATGTACAATTTTCAACCCAAATTGCTCAGTCACAATTTCACGAGACAAAAATAAACAACAAAATAGAGTAGTATAGACACAACTTCCAAATAAGGAAAATAATCTGCACAACGGATTTCCAAATAAAAGCCCCAAGCCCACCATCACCATGCCAATTCTGTTTCATAGCAACCTTGCAGGAGAGAGCAGAAATGCTCCAGAGTTCCCAAGGCTCTAAGTTTACTAAAGTTCTCTCCCTCATCTGTTTCCCCTGCAGCAGCTGATGGGTTTGAATCATCAGCTTTCAGCTAGCAGTCCAATGCTTAACTCCCTGCACCACCAGGATTCCTTACAATATATTTGCAAAATATTATTAAGTAATTTATTTTACCTTTCGCAGATCAAAAAAATGTGTACTGCAGTAGCAAAACACACGCAAATGTTTCACAGGAAATCGTACCTTCATACATCACAGTTGATGCATCTATGGAGAACTGAAATTGAGCCTTCACCGGAGATGGTGAGACCAATACTCACCAAACCTTGGCAGGTTGAGAGAGCCACTGAGGAGTTTTTGTGGGATCTCAAGGATCCTTGATAAAAGCAGAAATCCTCTCGTGGCATCGTCTGCACTGATTTCGTGTGTCCCTTTCCCAGTGTCTGCACAATAAATCCAGGGGCCACCAGGTTGCTGGATGTTTTCAGATCCATGTGGAAGTCATGTCCAAATCCTCTCAGACGAAGGTGAAGGGCATCAGTTCCCAGCTGGTCCACTGACCTTTTCCTTCGCTGATGGTGCATGATTTCATGGGACACATAATCTCCATTATGGTCAACCTCATACGCAGATACAAGGTCATATTCTGAAAGCAAAACCAAGAAGCAGCTAATTTCAGAATTCTGAAAAGAATCAGAAAGTTTCAGAATATCATTTATTACCAGGTGAAGTGGGTTGAATGATGACATGCTCTGCCAGAAATCTGTCATCTGAGAACCTCAATTTTGTTGTTGCTAAGCGCTGTAGAGTTAGTTCTAACTCAGAGCAATTCTGTATAGGGTTTCAAGGAGGAGCTGGTAGATTTGAACTGTCAACCTTGTGGTTTACAGTCCAGTGCTGATCATATAGCACCATACCAGGAGTCCAAGAACCTCAGAATAGTCACTTATTTGGAATAAGGGTCTTCGTATATGCAACTAAGGTAAACATCTCATCTTGGATTAACGTGGTCCTTAAATCCAGTGTCAGTGTCTTTGTGAGATACAAACAATAAGAAACAGACAGACACACAGAAGAGTAAATAATATGAAGGAAGAGACAGATTTGTATGATGTTTCTACAAGCCAAATAATGCAAACCAAGGTTGGCCAGAAGACCACCACAAGCTAGGAGAGAGCCAAGGGACAGATCCTCCCTCACAGCCAACTGAAGGAACCCACCCTGCTGACTCCTGGAATTTGAACTTCTTGCTTACAGATCTGTCACAGAATATATTCCTGTTGTTTTAAGGTAGCCCATTTGTGATATTTTTGTGTCAGACCAGGAAACCCACGTATCCGATAACACTTTCATTCTATCAGAAATGGAGGAAAATTTAGCATATATTCATTTTCAAGTTAAAATTGAGCATTAATTAAATTTAGACTTAAAAGACAAAATTTTAAAGATGGATTTTAGGTAATTCGCAATTGTCTTTGTAAAATGCTATTTTCAGGACATTCAATTCTGTGACACATATTAAGAAAAAATATAATTGCAAAATAAATTGAGATGATATTTGAAAAACTACTTATCGAGATTTGGTAATTATCAGACAGAAAAGTTTTGTACAGTACTTAAGACATTCCTTTAGGTGTATTCTTTTCATTTTTGTAAATATTTTCATGGAGCTGGATAAGAAGTTTCAACTTGGAAATACACGTATTTTTTTTTTAGAAAATTGGTTAGAATAAAAATATGCTGTAAATTTTTGCTGCTTTTTTAAAAGAAATATTTAATATAAAATTTTAATATACAAGAGAAATGGCAAAAAAAGAAGGGACTTCTAAAATGGAATTTTAAAGATAATGAAATTTTTTCTACCAATGTTTTAAAGGCCACTGGTATACACATATCCCAGGTTTCCCAGATGGTCACATTGGAAATGCTCACATGGTCCATTTCAGGTCGCAATTATGGGTCTGGATTCTTGATTCTTGGTCAGATTTTAACTTGAAGGCCTTTCAAATGCATGTCCCATGCTCTTTACCATTTCACTTGGTGTGCTTTCGTCCTGGAGCTGCCATAGCAAAGTACTGCCAACTGGGTGGCTTATAATGATGCTGTTGTT